GGGAGAGGGAGAAGCAGGCCTCCTGCCGAGCAGGGAGCCCGATGCGGGGCTCGATCTCAGGACCCTGGGATCATGACCTGAGCCGAAGGCAGTCGCTTAACGACTGAGCCACCCAGGCGACCCTAGCTAGTGGTTCTTAACTATTCATGTAGGTAGGGCTCCGTGCATACCTCATGTCCCCACCACATTGTATACATTATCTGTAATTATGTAGATAGATAATTCTCATCACCCCTGACCTCAAACATCGAACCTTTCGTGAATTTGGCTCCATCCCCAGATCAGCACCATGCCTGCGGGAGCATCTGGCCCTACCACCTTTGAGCTCGAAGGGCATCTTAAGTTTTCTGGGTCTTACTCGAGGTCACTCAATGTTTCTTTGTGGAAACTGGAACTAGGACCCAGAAGGGCCACAACAGCCCCTTCCAGTGAGACAGGAAGTGGCACAGATAATTTTCTTTCATTGGGAAGGTGGTTTGAATTAAGCCTCCATGAAGCGCCCATGAACGGGTTCAGGAAGGGCCAGGTTGTCAGTCACGGTGATGGGGCTGGGCAGGGCAGTGCTGGGCATGGCCCAGGCGGGGAAGAGTGGAGCTTGCCTTGTAGCCTTTTCTGCCAGATGGGCAGTGCATCCCACCTTTGCTGGCTGCCACTGCTTTCCCAGCTGACCTCCAAGTGCGTGCTCTCAGCATCTTCTCCCAGGCTCAGGCCCCATGTATTTGGTCTCATTTCCTATCTGTTCCTCCTGAGGAGATCATGTTCAACCAGCAAATTCAGGTGCTATGGGGGATACACAGATGTATCTGATCCGGGGGTTTTGTATCCAGACAAGATACTGTTCCTGCCTTAAGAAACCTATAGGGATGAACGATGAACATCCCTGCCCTTGAAAAGCTGATTGACTAGAGAAGGACACAGACAGGAACACAACAAATGCCATACGGAGCCGGCATGGCCATAGTGGACGCTGGGAAGACGACCTGCATGGGAGGGCAACTAGTGCTGACTCACGGTATCTGGGGAAGCTTCCTAGAGGTGATTGCATTTGAGCTGGACTTGGAAGTATGGGAAAGATTTAGATGAGGACAAAGAGAACTCTGGGTGGGGGGAATTGCTTGGGCAAAGGCATGGGGAGAAGGTGGAAGAGGCTGGCTGACCAGATCATAGGTAGCATAAGTCGGGGTATGTGATGATGGAGTTCAAAGGCAAGCCAGTGTTCAACACCAAAGACGTTGACTTAAATATAACTGCAGTGTCGGTGAGATAAAAACCCTGAATCACGTGTGCTCTCTCCCTTTGCAGAGGCCATGCCACTGAAACATTATCTTCTTTTGCTGGTGGGCTGCCAAGTCTGGAGTGTGGGGCTGGCCTACTATGGCTGCCCAAGTGAGTGTACCTGCTCTAGGGCCTCCCAGGTGGAATGCACCGGCGCGCGCATTGTGGCGGTGCCCACTCCCCTGCCCTGGAATGCCATGAGCCTGCAGATCCTCAACACGCACATCACTGAACTCAACGAGTCCCCATTCCTCAACATCTCCGCCCTCATTGCCCTGAGGATTGAGAAGAATGAGCTGTCCCACATCATGCCCGGCGCCTTCCGAAACCTAGGCTCACTGCGTTACCTCAGCCTCGCCAACAACAAGCTTCAGGTTCTACCTATTGGCCTCTTCCAGGGCCTGAACAACCTCGAGTCGCTCCTTCTGTCTAGCAACCAGCTGGTGCAGATCCAGCCGGCACACTTCTCCCAGTTCAGCAACCTCAGAGAGCTGCAGCTGCACGGCAACCACCTGGAATACATCCCTGACGGTGTCTTCGACCACCTGGTGGGCCTCACGAAGCTCAATCTAGGCAAGAATAGCCTCACCCACCTCTCGCCCAGGATCTTCCAGCACCTGGGCAACCTTCAGGTCCTCCGGCTGTATGAGAACAGGCTCTCAGAAATCCCTATGGGCACTTTTGATGGGTGTGGAAACCTCCAGGAGCTGGCCCTACAGCAGAACCAGATTGGTATGCTCTCCCCTGGCCTCTTCCACAACAACCGTAACCTTCAGAAGCTCTATCTGTCCAACAACCACATCTCCCAGTTGCCCCCTGGCATCTTCATGCAGCTGCCCCAGCTCAACCGTCTCACGCTTTTTGGGAATTCCCTGAAGGAGCTCTCATCGGGGATCTTTGGGCCGATGCACAACCTGCGTGAGCTTTGGCTCTATGACAACCACATCACTTCTCTACCTGACAACGTCTTCAGTGACCTCCGCCAGCTGCAGGTCCTGATCCTCAGTCGTAACCAGATCAACTACATCTCCCCAGATGCCTTCAATGGGCTGGTGGAGCTTCGGGAACTGTCCCTCCACACCAACGCACTGCAAGAGCTGGACGGGAGCGTCTTCCGCATGTTGATCAGCCTTCAGAACATCTCCTTGCAGAACAACCGCCTCAGACAGCTCCCAGGGAATATCTTCGCCAATGTCAATGGCCTCATGACCATCCAGCTGCAGAACAACCAGCTGGAGAACCTGCCCATGGGCATCTTTGACCACCTGGGGAACCTGTGTGAGCTGAGGCTCTATGACAACCCCTGGAGGTGTGACTCCGACATCCTTCCACTCCACAACTGGCTCCTGCTCAACAAGCCCAGGTTGGGGACAGATGCTCTCCCAGTATGTTTCAGCCCACCCAGTGTCCGAGGCCAGTCCCTCATCATCATCAACGTCAACGCTGCTCTCCCCAGCGTCCAGGTCCCAGTGATGCCCAGCTACCCGGAAACACCACAGTACCCGGACACACCCAGCTACCCTGACACCACCTCCATCTCCACTACTGACTTCACCAGCCCTGTGGGGGACTACACCGATCTGACCACCATTGAGGTCACCGATGACCGCAGCACGTGGGGCATGACCCAGGCCCAGAGTGGGCTGGCCATTGCCGCCATTGTTATTGGCATTATTGCCCTGGCCTGTTCCCTGGTTGCCTGCATCTGCTGTTGCTGTGGCAAGAAGAGGAACCACGCGGTCCTGATGCAGATGAAGGCACCCAATGAGTGTTGAAGAGGCGGGCTGGAGGCAGGGCTGGGGAAGAGTGGGAGCACTGGAGGATCTGGGAGTTTCATTATTGTGCCTCCACCCCTGGGTCCACAGAGCCATCCCCCACTCCCTCTCACTGGTCCCCAAGAGAAAGGCACCCCCACCTTTTCCTGACCTGTCTGGTTCTCCTCTAGAGAACTACAGGAGAACCAGCTCTTGCAGGGCTTCTTACCACCAGGGAGATCCAACCGGCCATGGCAAAAACCCCGTGGGGTTTCTAATTCACATCCCTGGGCTTCATTCGAGAAAGCCCTTCTCCACAGCCTTACCAGCTCTCCTCCAACAAGCCTCTCTGCACCCGCGGCCCTGCTGGCCTCTGTAGACTCAGTTACCACGCCGGCTCACTTTGTGGGGATAGTTCTCCACGGGGACAGCTTCTCTCCCAAGTAGGATGGAAGTTGATTTCCCTTCCTTCGCTCCACCCCCGTCCGTGGCATGCTCTCCCCTGTCCCCTTGAAAGGTCTCCCTTGATTTTCTGCTCCTGAAGGCAGGGTGAGTTCTCTCCTCACAGAAGGCTTCCACCCACTCAGCTGGCTTCCTAGGAGCTGACAAGCACCTGGTTTTTGGGTCACTGTGCAAGATGCCCCTTGGCTCCCGCAGAGAGAACCACTGTCAGCATCTCTCATGGGATTGTTATCTGGAAAAGGAAGACCGGCACCCGTGCAACAAGTCGGCCTTGTAGAGATTTCTGAACCACAAATTTTGTTTTGAAAATGTTGGTCCTTTGAGGGATAAGGTCACATAGAATGTCTGACCCCTAAAAACCTTGAAAATCAGCTTACTAGTACTGGATGGAGAAAGCACCCTGGTACCTGAGGTGTCCTTATGTTCATCCCTAGGGTTCTTCTCTTTTAACTTTTTATTGAAGTATAACACATATAGAAATGTGGGAGCGTGACCGTGTAGAGTTTGATGGGTCTTCACAGTTCACACCCATGTAATCAGCATCCAGATCTAGAAACAGGCTATTACTAGTATCCTCCATCGTGGGCTTTTACTGGAGAAGACAGGCTTGAGGAGATGGGTCCCCATGAGCCAGAATGGCCCCTCACCACCCCTGCCAGCCCGCCCTTGCCAAGGCCCAGCTGCTAGGGGTAGAGGAGACGACATGGGTACGTTCCGGAGATGTAATCAAATCCCCACACCCGAGGCTCCCAGAACGGCCAGGTCAGAGGCCTCTCTACAGCAGAGGTCCCTGCAAACACACACCTTTCTCCGCCAGCAAGCTGTCCCCTGCTCATCGGAGGCCCCTCCGCCTGGGCCTTTTATCGCCATGCTCTGCCTCTGTCTGTTTTTAATTTTCACTTTCCATTTGGGGGAAGCAAAATAGTTCGGAGATGAGATCCTTCAGTTGAACAGCTGAATGTAATGGAACCTGGTAATCCTTCTAGTGTGGTAAAATTCTCCATCAACGTTCCAGTCAGCTAGACACTGAAATTCAGAATGCTCACATACGGGAGGCAACATCAGGGTGCACAGATAAGTCACCCTGGGTCTGGGGGCTCTTTGGAGTTCCTTCTGCCTGTGGCCTGCTTATAAGAGTTAAGTGTTTGGTGCAGGGTTATCGTCCTCCTTGAGTGCTAGCCACAGAAATCCCTGCCTTCAGCACCTTTCTGCTACACACGTATTCACACTGGTAAAGAAATTGTGCTCATGGCAACTCATGTCTTTGGACAACTGGTCTATCAGTTCAGAAATCAAAACAGTGAAATGGAGAATTTCAGCTGTCTGTGTCTGCCCAGGAAAGGGCTGCAGCTGGTGCTATAAGGATTTGGAAATCCTGACTGGCTCTTACTAGTTTTCTCTGTCCCACAAGACAAATAAGAAATTGCCTCAGGCCTTAGTGGCATGATGCTGACAGGTCCCCAACAAAACAGGTCCAGGAAAGGATGTGTGTAGGAACTAGAACACTGTAGAGTTTTTTTCTCTGTCCCAGAGAATCTGGGGAAGATGGGGCCTGTCAAAGGCAAAAGACATCTTCTCCCCGAGGTAAATCTGGGTCTCCAAAAGGTTTACCAAAGATTTGTAGCAACTGGTGGACGTGTACCAAGACTTGCCAGGGCCCAAAAGGAAGTGAGCCCAGAGCTTGGGGCATGAGCATCATTCCATTGATGGTGGCCTGCCTGATGATCCTGGGGCCATCGGGGGAAGCGAGGCTGGCTTTCCTCCAGATAGGAAGCATGGGTTAGCGCTGTATTCGTCAAGGTTCTCCTTATGAGTAGGCTCCAATGTCTCATTGTGCAAGGGTGCAAGTGGGCCAGAGATGGCAGAGAGGTGAGGAAGGAGTCCTTTTCACCCAGTGTGTCCTGCCCTTCTGGACCCAGAACCCTTGGGTAGTCCTGGCATTGGCCATGACATTGGAGGTCCTTTCTCCCGAGCCCAGGATCGCAACATGTTTCCCCAGCCCAAAGGTTGGCCCGAGGGCATCTGTCCTCAGATGTCTCCATGCAGGAGCACCCCCGGGTGGGGCTGGTGAACTCTTTACATGATGCTCGGAGCTTGCCTGGTCCTTTCTCCCATCAGAGTGGATTGGATGGAGCCATTGGGCCTCCTCTTCCAGGGCAGGCCTTTTGACCTCTCTGAACCATGTTGTCTGGCCAGGGAGCTACCGGGAAAGCTGGATGGAATTTCCTTTCCAACAAGACATTGCATTTGCTCACTTTCCAGGGCTGGAGTGAGCTGCTTGGTCCCCCCAAGTTGAGGTAGGGTACAGAGTCCACTTTAATTTCCCCGTTTGCTCACTGGCCACTAGGTCACCTTGCCAGTACGAGCAGCCTCCATTTGGAGTGAAGGGTCAATGTTGGAGAAAAGAGAATAAAAACCAGTTAGAACCACTGTTTTTCAAAAATGCTTACTGTGTGTAGATACCCTTTAAAGCACTGAACAAGCATTTTCTTTTTAAGCCTGACAGCAGCTCTGTGCATGGGTAGTACCATTATGCCCTGGAAATGGGTCTAAACTCACTCTTTCTTCTGCAACATTATTCGGTGGGCCATGGGTTTTCTTTCTCTCTTCACACTTTTTTTTTTTTTTTAAGGATTTTAATTATTTGAAACAGAGAGAGACACAGCGAGACAGGGAAACAAGCAGGGGGAGTGGGAGAGGGAGAAGTAGGCTTCCCACCGAGCAGGGAGCCCGATGCGGGGCTCGATCCCAGGACGCTGGGATCATGACCTGAGCCGAAGGCAGACGCTTAGCCGACTGAGCCACCCAGGCGCCCGCAAGTTGTGGAGGTTAATAAAGTGGTGCTCTTTTTTTTTTTTTTTAAGATTTTATTTATTTGACAGAGAGAGAGAGAGAGCACAAGCAGGGCGAGTGGCAGGCAGAGGGAGAGGGAGAAGCAGGCTCCACGAAGAGCAGGAGGAGCCCGATGCGGGGCTCGATCCCAGGACCCTGGGATCACGACCTGAGCCGAAGGCAGACGCTTAACGACTGAGCCACCCAGGCGCCCCTCTCTCTTCACACTTTGTACAAGACGTCATGGCCTGTCCTGGGCTTTCATCCGTAAAGAAAATGGGAGTCACTTTCCTTCTGCTTCCTACAGTCTTAGCCATTGGAACCTCACTTGCTACTGTGTGGATCAAAAGCTTTGTCGGGCGCCTGGGTGGCTCAGTTGGTTAGGCGACTGCCTTCGGCTCGGGTCATGATCCTGGAGTCCCGGGATCGAGTCCCGCATCGGGCTCCCTGCTCGGCGGGGAGTCTGCCTCTCCCTCTGACCCTCCTCCCTCTCGTGCTCTCTGTCTCTCATTCTCTCTCTCTCTCAAATAAATAAATAAAATCTTAAAAAAAAAAAAAAAAAAAAGCTTTGTCAATACAGGGAACATTCAGCTCACCCATCCACTAAAGAAAAAGAGCAGTTTCAGGAATCTGTCTCCACCCTCAGGAAGCTGATGGAGAGTAGACAGCTAGGGAGGTAACTAGATCACTAGAGTTGGTAACCAGACACTGGCTGTGTCCAAGCCTTTAGCTACAAACCACTCACAGAGTGCAGCCCACGGATCTCGCAGTCAGAACTGAACCCAGGCTGTTGGGGAGGCAGTGGGCGGGGGGCCTGGGAAGGAAGCCCTCACTGTGGTTCAGAGAAGGGGGCAGGTGCCCCTCTAGGCCCAACTTCTGCCAGCTATGCTCTCTCCTTCGCCTAAGGAGAGGTCGTCCTCACCAACCCATTGCCTTCATGATGCCTTCAAAAGTAGATCACGTTTGCCTCGCTTAGAGAATCATTGCAAATAGTCCCAGGTGCTTGGTGATGCATTTAGAGATTTCTAGGCCCCCAGGGTTTTATAGAGTGCGAGCCCTGGTGGGCAGGGTTGGGGGTCCATCTTTGCTGGATGCTGCCTATAACAAATTTGGTGTACAGAGTCAACAATAAACGGTATACACAGGACACATATGTGCTCGATGGACGTCTTGCCTAAGGAATCTCACACCTGTTGATTCTACTCTTGTTCATGCATGTGAGGCTGAGCCAGACAGACCCTCGTGGAGAACAGGTTCTGAGCTGGGAAAAGGCCTTTGAAAAGTGAGTGGGGAACATAAATGCAATAACAAATGATATCTCTAGGCCACTGTGTCTGGAAGGAGCCTGAGGAATAGGTTCAACCCATTTTATAGATGAAGAAAGTGAGATCAAGGCAGGACATGAATTTCCTCGTGTAATTAATGCCTGAGCTCGCAATGCAGCAGGTCTCCAGACTCCCAGACTGGGGGTTCTTCTATGTCACCAGAAAGGCATTCATTTGACCTGTATGTGAGCACGCACACACGCACACGCACACAGTCTTAGGTGGGCGGACTCTTCCTGCACACCGCAGCATTCCTAGTGTGCCTCGCACTGGGCTCGGTGTGTCACAGGCTCTCAGAAGACCCCATCTGAGTGAAGGCGACTCCCTCCAAAGTGTCCAGGCATCCCTAGCACTTTTTCAGGTCTCCAGATCCCAGGGGCTGCCGTAGCTGCCAGCTCAGTGCTTGAGAGAGGGATGATCTCTGCGGTTCCTTTATCCCACTGCTGTGCCAGGATAGGAGCTTCAAACTGTATTTTCCTGGGCTCTTTGAGCTCGTAGATCCTCTCTGCCAGGGGTAAGCTTGTCCCGGGAGTTTTGGCTAATGGGAAAAGGGTTTAGGGTCCTCATCCCACTTCCCAGAAGGTCCCTAGAGTTCTTAATGCAAATCTCCCCTCCACACATGCCCACATATGCCCAGAGTTCTGCCAGCCTCTCTGAAGTTTTATTTCACACGTGTGTGTGTGGGCTCACGTGTGCACGCATGCACACACACGCACAAAGTCGGCCCTCTACCACACCCATTCCACAGATGGGGAGGCAAAGACTTGTAGAGATTAAATAATTTGTGTAAGGACTGGTTAGTTAGTTGAAGAGTCAGAATTCAAACCCGGATCCATTGAATGCCCAATTTCTCTGGCTCACTATGACACTGACAAACAGACAAGGTCTCTCTCTAGAGGTGTCAGTGCCTTAAGAAACCATTCAGAGCGCAGATGGGGCTGTTCCCCTAGCCTGGCTGTGGGTCTCCTCCAAAGGTGTGCCCCCTTCCCTCAGCCCCTGGTGAGTATACCATCCTGTCCCTGCCGGCCTGGGGACGTTCTGTTCCCAGCCCTTCTTCCCTCTGACACGCTCCCATGTTCCTCTGCTAAAGTGTGGATTTGTACTATGTCTCCATTGAAAAATGTTTCCTTGCTATACGTTAACAGAACTTTGTGATTTAGCTGATGAAATCCACTCACATGCCAAAGAAATATTAGTTAAGTCATGAAAAAGAGTGAGATAGATATTAATACCATGCAACGAGCTTTAAAGCCATCAGTCTACTTTGAATGGTAGCCTCTGGACATTGAAAATGACCTGAGACTGCTTATCTAGGTCATGCCTTCACACTGCACCCTTTAAAATATATACCCACCTATGCACACACACACACTCTTTACTTCATTCTGCAGCCCCTGGATGAACATCTCCAGACAGGAGAACCACTATTTTTTTTTTTAAAGATTTTATTTATTTACTTGAGAGAGAGAGAGCACAAGCAGGGGGAGGGGCAGAGGGAGAGAGAGAGGGAGAAACAGGGAGCAGGGAGCCAGATGCACGGGGCTTCGCGGGGCTCGATCCCAGGACCCCGGGATCATGACCTGAACTGAAGGCAGATGCTTAAGCAACTGAGCTACCCAGGCACCCTAGGAAAACCACTCTTCCAAAGCAACTTCTTTCATCCTTGACTAGCCCTATAGTGAAACTGTGCCTCTCCATATTGGGCCAAAATTCACCTCCTTCCATCTTCTCCCCTTTTAACTCAGAAAGGGTTTAGAAAGTTAGTTTATGAAACAAACCAATAAACCAAGGAACAAGCCCACAGCCCTCTTAGAATTCCTCCCAGCACTGAGAGCCCAGCAGGTGTCTGTGGCCAGGTGTTCACCTGTCAGGCTCCCAGCACCAGCCTGGCCTTTCACCGGGAGGGGATGTAAGTGGACTCCTGGCTGCGGTCCTCATCCCTGGATCAGCCTACTGGAAACTTTCTAGGACCTGCTGGATGCCCCTGGGCCCTAAAGGTGCCAGGCCTGTGATCTCTGCTGGATTTTGGCCTCAGTGGGGATCTGTCCATGAAACAGTTCAGGGTCATTTTGTTAATCTTCAGAGGCCTTGCCCCAGATTCTCCTTTGCTGTCCTGTGACCCTGGTGACGTTCCGGGAACACTTGGTCCACGTGAGGGGAGGAACCACTGCCGGGAACTTTGATCAGCGCTGGGGCTGCTGGGCTCACACTGACCATAGACCATACCAGAAACACTTCTGCTCCCCAGGAAGAGCCAGGGCGGCCTGTGCGTGTCCTCTCAGCCCCTCACGGTAGGTCTCCTGGGGTCTGTGGGGATGGGGGAGGACTCTGGCCACGGTCCCAGCTGCGGGGCAGGAGAGGGGCAGTCACTCCTCCCAGGGTCAGAGCCTGTCCCCAGCTCCAAGCAGGATACACCATCCGGGTACTCTGCTATAGGAGGAGAAGACCCCGTGGCCCCCTGCCAGGGTGGTGCTGGCCTGGGGCGGGAGGCAGGGGCGGCAAGGGGTCCTGAGATAAAGGTGACTTGGTCCCTGTGCTCTGGGAGTGCAGAGTGAATGGTGGGGATATGCAGGACGACCATATGTCCAGGTTTGCCTGGTTCCATCCTTGTTTATGCCATCCTGTGGCTCCCCTTTGAGTCCGGGTTTCGTTGATATAGTCACTCCGAGAATAAAATCCAAATATAGCTACCTTTTATCCAACACTTACTATTTGCCAGGTATTGTGTTAAATGCATTGTATTTGCTGTCTAATGTAAGCATATATATTATCCAGTTAGGTACTGATTTTAACCCTAAGGGATGAGGTTACAATTGTGCATGGGAAAATTAAGGCTTGGAGAGAAGGAGTGACCTGCCCGAGCCCACACAGCCTGTAGGTAACAGTGTCAGACTTTGAACCCAGGTCACAGCCCTGGCAGAGTTCAAGGGCTTCCCCACTCCGCTAAGCACGAGGAACGTAAGATGTGATACACAGGTGACCAAGAGCCACAGGCACATTCGCTTTAGTTCAGCACACCCCACCTGGTCTGCGCTCAGCTCTGGGCCGGGTGCTGGGGTGCACGGCCCGGTAAGACATGCTGCAGACAGCATCCCAGCCCCAGAAGCTCACAGGCAGACTGGGGCAACTGACCAGAAGTTAGAGCAGAAGGACCCAAGCATTCATCTGAGGGTGGGAATGACCTGTGGCGTCCACAGTCAAGGATGGCTTCCTGGGGAAGGTGTGACTTGCGCGGGCTTGGGGTGCGGGTGGAGGTATGGGGGCATTCTAGAGCAGAAAGGGCTGTGTAAGCGGGAGTTGGGGTGGCACCCTGTGGGAAGTGTTTGAAGAAGGACAGTGCTCAGTTCACAGCTTTTTTTTTTTTTAAGATTTTATTTATTTATTTGAGAGAGAGAGAGCGCAGGTGCACAAGCGGGGGGGAGGGGCAGAGGCAGAGGGAGAAGCAGGTTCCCCGCTGAGCATGGAGCCCGAAGCAGGGCTCCATGGACCCCAGGACCCGGGGATCATGACCTGAGCCGAAGGCAGACGCTTGACCGACTGAGCCACCCAGGGGCCTCACAGCTTCTTTTATTTCACCATGCTGGCTATCTCCCCCCAAGGCGGCTGGGAGACAAGCTCTTTTGAGCCTTTGCGACGTAATTGCAAGGGAGGAGAGCAGTCCAGGAAGCCCGCATTATGTGTTTGGAATGGGGCTGTGTGTTTTACATGATTATCTGAATTTTTATGACTTTCAACCTTCTTACAAACGTGACCTGTTTATTATTTTTTTTTAGAAACTGTAGACAATGTCTGATAAAGCAAAAGGAAAAAATTAAAGTCACCCACAATTCTGTTTTTCAGAGATAACCACTGCAAATATTTTGTGTATAATCTGAAGCTTATCTAAGAGCCTATCGAGAGTCACTTCATTAATATAAATGAGTGAATCGAAAGGGTCCTATTATGAATAACAAAAGATGCCCCTCTATTAACTCTCAGGAAATTTCAAGGGTTTTTGGAGCTCTGTGGTAAGAGCCAGGCAGGAAAAAGACTAAATATATATTTTTTACTCTACCACCATATCACAAACTCAATGCCAGTTATCTCAGTTAATTACCACAACTCGAACAAAGCTGTAATTTAGGTAGTAGTGTTACTGTCATAATTGTTCTTAATTTACAAATGCAGAAACCAGGCGCTGAGGGGTTACTTCACTGCCTGGGACACAGTGGGCAGCAGGTTGGGGAGGACCAGCCAGCTGGGGTGGGGGCGGGGAAGAGGCTGGAGCCTGGGAAAGGAGACGGGGTCCGGGGAGCAGCAGGACTTCCTGGGGGACCTGGATGAAGCCATCAGGGGCTCCAGATGAGCCTCTAAAGCCTCTCTTCCCGCTCTCAGATGTGCTGGGGCCCCTTGGCCATGCAGACTGCAATGGAGCCATCCCCGAGTAGAGCAGCAGTCCCCTGATGGGGCTCTGGGCTCCTGTCACCCTCTGGAAGGAGTGAGGGTTGGCTCTGTGGTGGATGACAGACTGGCCTGTGGCAAACACAGAAATGTATCAACCCAAAAGCAATTTGAGAAGAGAAAAAAGTCCATTTGCAACCAGTCAACCACCCCCTGCCCCCACCAGAGCCAGACTTCCCTGGCTTGCTGAAAGCATGGAACATATTTTGTGGGCATGTGCTGGTCTCTGCAGAAATGCAGAGGTGGTTTCTCAGATGAGAAGCAGGAATCTTCTGGCTGCCTCTCCACAGTGCCCAGGCTGGGGCGCTTACCCTCTCCAGAGCCCCCAGTGACCTGCTCTTGAGGGCACTTGGGAAAGGGGCCCATATCCAGGGCATCCTAGCCAAAGCCATCAGAATCTGTGCTCTTCTAAACCAAGGGCAAAACAATTACCCGCTTCCCTTGGCTGGGAGGAAAGAGCCAGAAAAAGTGCTGTGGAGAGGCATCTTGCTGGTCCATAAATGGGGTGGTTGGATGATCTCATCAGGTTTTCCAGAGCTAACCTCTGTGGCAACTTTAGAACAAAGTTAGGGCTGGCCCGAACTCAAAATAATCAGGGTCATTAATGCTCTGTTGCTGAACGCTCACTGTGGGTCAGGCTCTGGGTTTGCAGCTTTCCACACATTTTCTCATTCAGTCCTCAGAACAACCCCGTGAGGAAGGTAGTATTGAAGCTTGGTGTTTTGAAGATAAGGAAATTGAAGCACAGAGAGGTTAAGCAATTCAGCCAAGGCCACACAGCTAATGAGGGATAGAGACAGGATTTGTACCCTTACTATCTGACTCCAGAGCACAAACTCTTAGCCATTCTAGAGTGATGTGAGAACGAGTCTTGGGCTGGGAGTGGATAGCTGGGAAACGATCAGGGTTCCATGCCCTCACGGTGAGTACCATCTCCTGTTTCCTCCAACCCCATAGACCGGGGCTCTTTCTCTCCTGAACTTCAGAGGCCCTGTTCGGGTCCTCTTCCCACCTTGACACCTCCAAGGGGCGAGAAGTTTGCAAAACCAAAGGGACATATCCGCCCGGAGGCTACGCCGCCATCTTCAATCATGCTTCAATCAGGTACCCAGGAGCCAGGACTGGCGTGGGTTGCCTCCCCAGGTCTATCTTCCCTCGGTTGACCAAGTCACGGTAGTGCATGCCCTTGGGCATGTGGGGACAGACAGTAGGTGAGGTCCCTTGTATATGTTTGCTCTAGGGCCCTCAGGTCCATTCTAGGGGAAGCTTTTCTGGAAACTGCCTTTGAGAACCAAGGACCAAAGGGGTTAGCAAGGAAGGGGACTGGCACATTATGCATTGTTATGCATTATGGCATCTTTAAAATAAAAATTGCTCCCCTGTTACTCTCTGGAGGAGGAGGATTCGAGTCCACTCTCATGGTCTGGCTGGTGATCATTCACTGGGGCTTGAACCATGCTAGCTGTGGAAAGGTTAACTCTGTCTCCCACACTGCTCACATCAGCTATGGAGACTTGAGCTGGACGAAGCCTAGCCCAGCCCGCGGTAGGTCAGCACTGGGCTGGACGCCGAGCACAGCGATGAGCACACTCATCTTCTCAAGACGAGGACAGCCACGAAGAGCCACCATTTCAGGAAACTATGCTAGCTGCCGAGATCGAGGAGCATACCACCAGGCACCGTATTCCTGGGGTCAGGGAAGGCTTCTGTCAGGATCCCTAGGGGTTGTGTGTGGGATCCCCAGGGGCAGCCCAGCTGGCAGGTGGGGCTGGACAATGGCCACCTCATCCATCTGCAGCCAGGGCCCTCTTCTTATCTGTAACAAGCCTCAGACAAGAGTGTGCCCCCTGGTTCTACAACTCCCTAGACAAGTGGTTACGGAGTTCAGCTTTAGCACAAGACTCTATTCTCTGAGGCTGTATGTAGAGGCTACGGACTCAGGTGTTGTGAGGGGCAGGCAGGTGCAGCTCCTAGAAAAGCCCTCCCCTGCCACCTCCGGGGGCATACTCAGCACCCATGCAAGTGACAGAGGGAGGCATGCACTTTCTGTGGCGGAAGTGGTCCCTTCTCTATTGATTAGGCAGAAAAATTCCTGGAAAAATTGGGCTATTGAGTGTCTGAATGGGAGGAGGGAACAGGGAGATTTTGCAAGCGCTGTGTTTGCTTATGGGGAGCCCTTTGGCCTGAAGTGGAACCTTGGGAGGGAGGAGGCAGCCAGCAGAGGGCAGCAGAGAGGCGGCCAGCAAAAAGGGTTTGGGGCCGAGATACCCCAACGCGGAGCCGATTGTCAGTGCTTACTAGAGGCAGATAACTGAGAAAAATTAACATTATGTTGTTCAAGGGTTTTTTCTTTCTGTCTTCCTTTCTTTCTTCTCCCCACTCTCTTTTCTTTCTTCCTCTGTCTCCCCTCCCTCCCTCCCTCCCTCCCTCCCTTCCTTCCTTCCTGTCTGTCTTTTCCTGGTAAAGCCAAATGTATTCTATCTAAAGGGCATTCTGTTCTTCCTACTTTTTTGGTGTTCAAATAACCTTTCTGTTATGATGGTGGCTTACAACCTTTAACAATAATTAACATAATTTATTAATTTCTCACTCTACATCAGACACTGACCTAAAACTTTGGCTATGTTTTCTCATTCAAGCCTCACAATTACCCTGACCTGGTAGACACTATCCCTGTTTTACAGATAAGGAAAGTGAAGCTCAGCCGGGTTAAGTAACACGCCTAAGGTCACATAGCTAGAATGAGCTAGAATGTGGTGGAGCCAGTATTTGAACTGATGGAACCTGCCCCGCTACAGGCCCTGTAAATGACAGGTGGGGCTATGGCAGCCTGGGAGGTGCACACCCCCATGGGGCAACTAAGCCCCAATTCCAATTGGTCTTGTCATGCGGGAATGTGAGCCCACTGCTCCTAAATCATTCTGAAATCTGGACTTTTTAATGTGAGATTTCTCAATTTTCACATGTTGGCTAGTGGTTCATATAGAAAAAAGACTGAGCCATGAGACACATCTGTGAACTGCAGCACCAACCTGTGACCTGGGGTTGGATGCTGGCATTTGAAACAATTTCTTTAGGGACGCCTGGGTGGCTCAGTCGTTAAGCGTCTGCCTTCAGCTCAGGTCATGATCCCAGAGTCCTGGGATTGAGCCCCGCATCGGGCTCCCTGCTTGGAGGGGAGCCTGCTTCTCCCTCTCCCACTCCCCCTGCTTGTGTTCCCTCTCGCTGTGTTTCTCTCTGTCAAATAAATAAATAAATAAAATCTTAAAAAAATTTTTTTTTAGTTAACTAAAAACTCAGTCCTCTTTCCTTACTTAAAAACAAAACCCAAAAAACAAAAATCTGCTGGTCTGTGGAATCCCTGCATCTGGGATCCTCCTGTCCACACAATGCTGGAAAGTTCTGTGGGCTCCAACACGGTGGGGGAGGCGGGTGGGCAGGGGGAGAGCATTTGACAGCAGCAGCAAGGAGCAGGCGACTCATTCAAGATAAGAGCCCGTCTTATCGGGGCGCCTGGGTGGCTCAGTCCTTTGGGTGTCTGCCTTCGGCTCAGGTCATGATCCCAGGGTCCTGGGATCGAGCCCCGCATTCGGGCTCCTTGCTCAGCTGGAGCCTGCTTCTCCCTCTCCCACTCCCCCTACTTATGCTCTCTCTCTCTCTCTCTGTGTCAAATAAATAAATAAAATCTTAAAAAAAAAAAAAGAGCCCATCTTGTCCCTGCAGCTGCTCTCACCCCCAGTGGATGTACAAGAGCAGATGGTCGAGTCTCCTCATCATTAGGCTCTGCAATGTGCTGAGATTTGGAAACCCAGGAAGAGTTATGGGTTAAAAATTCCCCGCACACTAATAACCTACCCAGATTTTACACATTACCTTAAAAATTCCATAATACCCATGGTCTCCTCCTTTCCCTCTCTTCCATGCCTTTTTATCTCACTTCCACCCTTTCTCCCCACCTGGAAAGCACACGGGAAGTCCAGGAGACCTGGGTCTTGGTCCTGCCACTAACCTGCCAGGTGGCTATGGACAGGCCACGTGACACCCTGTCAGGAGGTCCGAACCCGGGTCTCATGGATCTTGCAAGGCTGCCGCGAGGCAGTCTGAAAACAACCACTGAAAACACATACTGTCCCAAAGGGGGGCCTCCCTGAAAGAGTTAATCCCCGTCTCCTGACTGCCCCCCCCCCACCGGGCGCTGGCCCCTGTGCCTCACTGTCCTCGAGAAAAGCGTCACCTCTGTTCTCTCTTCCTGCTGGGGTCAGGAGATGCTGCCCGGGGCCTGGCTGCGCTGGGCCGGCCTCCTGCTGCTGGCCAGGCCTGCCTGGCCCTGCCCTGCGGGCTGTGACTGCTTCACCCAGGAGGTGTTCTGCTCCGATGAGGGGCTGGCCGCCATCCCGCCGGACATCCCGCCCCACGCCACAGGCATCATCTTCGTAGAGACCTCGCTCACCACGGTGGGAGCCAGGGCCTTCAGCGGCAGCCCCAACCTCACCAAGGTGGTCTTCCTCAACACCCAGCTCCACCACTTAGGGCCCGACGCCTTCGGGGGGCTGCCCAGACTGGAGGACCTGGAGATCACTGGCGGCACCTTTTCCAACCTCAGCACCGACACCTTCTCCAACCTGAGCTCGCTGGGCAATCTCACCCTCAACTTCAACATGCTGGAGGCTCTGCCTGAGGGCCTCTTCCACCAGATGGACGTCCTGGAGTCTCTCCAGCTGCAGGGCAACCGGCTCCAGAGCCTGTCTGGGAGGCTCTTCCGGCCTCTGGGAAGTCTGAAGACCCTCAACCTTGCTCAGAACCTGCTTGCCCAGTTGCCCGAGGAGCTGTTCGACCCCCTGGGCAGCCTGCAGACCCTGAGGCTGAGCAACAACGCGCTCTCCGGCCTGCCCCAGGGCGTGTTCGGCAAACTGGGCAGCCTGCGGGAGCTCTTCCTGGACAGCAACCTGATCTCGGAGCTGCCCCCCGGAGTGTTCTCAGGGCTCTTCCAGCTGGAGGAGCTGTGGCTGCAGCGCAATGCCATCCGCCATCTGCCCGTCTCCGTCTTCTCCTCCCTGGGCAACCTGACCTTCCTGAACCTGCGGGGGAACGCGCTGCGGGGGCTGCCCGCCGGCCTCTTCGCCCCTACCCCAGGCCTGGTGGGCCTGTCTCTGTCCTACAACCGGCTGGTGGCTGTCAGCGAGGGCGCATTTGCCAACCTGTCCAGCCTCAGTTCCCTGACGCTCTCGCACAACGCCCTCACCCATCTCCCGGCCGGCGTCTTCAGAGACCTGGAGGGGCTGGTCGAGCTCTACCTGGGCAGCAACAACCTGACGGCCCTGCACCCAGCCCTCTTCCAGAACCTGTCCAGGCTGGAGCTGCTCAGCCTCTCCCGGAACCTCCTCACCACGCTCCCCGAGGGCATCTTCGACACCAACTACAACCTGTTCAACCTGGCCCTGCACGGCAACCCCTGGCAGTGTGACTGCCACCTGGCCTACCTGTTCAGCTGGCTGAGACAGTACAGCGACCGGCTCTTCAACATCCACACCTACTGCGCCGGCCCCGCCTACCTGAAGGGCCAGCTGCTGCCCGCCTTGCAGGAGGAGCAGCTGGTGTGTCCCGTCACCCGCGACCGCCTGGCCTTCCAGGCCCCGGGGCCGGAGGACAGGGAGCCCGGGGGCAGCTGGGATCTGGCCGCGCAGGAGAGGGCCGTCTGGAGCCAGTGCACCTACAGCAACCCCGAGGGGACCGTGGTGCTCGCCTGTGACCAGGCCCAGTGTCGCTGGCTGAACATCCAGCTGTCTCCCCGGCCGGGCTCGGGCCCCCCGGGACTGACGTACAACGCCAGCCAGCACTGGGACTTGAAGTCCCGCTGCGGCTCCGTGAGGCTCACCGTGGCTATCGAGGCTTGGCCAGGGGGGCAGTAGGCGCGGGGCATGCGGAGCCAGGAGCCTGCCTAGGTAGCCTCCGGGGCCCGGCCAGGCCAGAGGTGGGGGCAGAGGGAGAGCCGAAGCCTTGCTTGTGCAGATGCCAGGGACGGAGCGGAGTCCCCCGGGTGGAGGAGGTGGCTCGGTGGCCTCTACCCTCCTCCCCCTCTTCTGTCACTATCACCGAGGCTGGGCCCTACCTTGGCCCTCCTCGAGCTTTGCCAAGCAGCCCTTAAAGCTGCACCACAGTCTGGAGAATAAAAGAACATTCTCCCTGGTGTTTCTGGATGATCTAATACCCACCCCACTCTCATCGTGCCCTGAGGTTCCAGGCCTCAGGCACCACCAGTCCAGGTCCTCTTCGGACTTCCAGCTCGAAGGCCAAATGTCCGTTTCGATCTCTCTCCCTGGGAATTTGGTTTCAATTGATATAGAGAAAAACAAAGCAGGGGGTAGAAGCAGAGGTGAGCAGAAGGATGAGGGGCAGAGGTCTGACTGGCGTGGGGGGTGGTGCTTGTGTCATTTGGGGCCACCTCCTGCGCTGTCGCCAGGGGAGACCAGGATGAATGGGGCCTGCGGAGGCAAACAGCAGCCGTTTGGACTCCCCCCCCACGCCAAGTCCCTCTTCTCCCTCCCACAGACAACAGGGCTGCTCCCTGAGTGGGGAGGCGGGAGGGGCAGTGAGTGGGGCTTGGAGGCTCCTCAGCTCTCTGCTCTCTGATGGCATCTGACTCTGGGGCCGCTCGCTCCCTGCGATGGTTCTCCTCTGGTTTGCAGGACACCACTCTCTCACAGCCCGGCCACTCCTTCGGTCTCCCAGCCGCCCCTTCCATGCTGGGGACCCCCCCACCCTGTGCCCTCCTGTTCGGCCTCCCCAGGGAATCTCATGCGTGTCCCTGGGGTCGGATGCATGATGACCCGCATCTCCATCTCGGGCTCCGGTCTTCTTTGGCTCCGTGATGAGCTATCTGCCTGCTCAGCAGCCCTGTGTTCGATCATTCTGCCTCGAACATCTGTAAAGCAAACCGATCCCCGGTTCCTCCGGGATTCCTCTCCAGCAGATTGCCAAGCCCAGGAGCTGGGTGTGTTCTCCAGTCTCTCCTCCCCCTTGAACGTCATGACCCACCCATCCAGGAACACTTCTGAGCACCCCTTTATCCATTTCGCCCTTCCCATTCCCAGCCCCGGGAGGCTCTTTGTCTCCCTGGACCGGACCGTGTGCAGCCTCCTACCTGGTTCTCCTGCCTGCAGTGTGGACCGGTCTGGGTGAAATGCTAGGGTTGGGGAGGGAGACACGAATCTGACGTCTGGCAGGCCCTCCGGGAACTCACTCACAGTCTGGCAGGAGAGATCAGACAAGGGTGCAGGTCTTGGTGGTGGGCGGGGAGGAGAGTGAAGCCAAGAACCAAGGGCAGGGACAGGCTTGGGGGAAGGCAGGAGCGTGATGTCAGCTTCAGACAAGGAAGTGTAACTCCCCCATTGTGTCCAGGGATGCCCTTTTAAAAAACATGCTTCCCGAGGCTCAAATCAAAATCACCACAAATTCTAAGGTGATGGAAGGTAGTTGACCAGATTCGCCAAAGGAACAGACTCCCAAATTCATTGGGTTCAATTCCCAGAAGCATTATGGATTAATAATCTTTTTAAAAAAGATTTTATTTATTCATTTGAGAGAGAGAGCACGAGATGAGGGGGGAGGGGCAGAGGCAGAGGGAGAAGCAGACTCCCCTGCTGAGCAGGAAGCCTGCTGTGAGGCTCCATCCCAGGACCCTGGGATCATGACCTGAGCCGAAGGCAGATGCTTAACTGACTGAGCCACCCAGGTGCCCCTGGATTAATACTCTTAATCGGTCCTCCAAGGTTGGGGAACTGTACCACCTCTGGGAGGCCGCGGTCCCGAGTGTCTGAGGGTCCAGGCTTGTGCTCTCCTGACCCCGGCCAAAGGCCGGCTGCTTTAGGCTGCTTGCTTCCCTCTGGGGGTGATGCGCGCTGTCTGGGGAGGGCATCCCTGCCCCAGCACATCCGGGAGCTTCACAAGCCTCTACCCAGTGAATGCTGGTCTGAACTACAGCTCACAGTCCGAATAGTCGTGCCCCCACTGCCGGAGATAAAGGAACAAGATCATCGAGGAGACATTTCTCTTAATTATATTCTCCCCCAAACTCTAACTCTTCATTACATTGAAATACAGTCATTTCTCTCTGTGCTGAATGACGCTGGGGAAAGAGCCCTGGCTGACGGCCAGGGGCTATGTCATCCGGGCAAGCTGCTTGTCCTCCCTTTCCAGTTGGCTCAGCGAGACCAGAGTCACTATGCTCTTTCGGGTAGCATGGCCAGATTTTGCAGATCAACATATACATGTTGCATGGGACATCCTTATAGCACAAAACTGTGTAGTTTATCTGAAACCCAAGTTTACCTGGGTATTTATCTGGCGACCGAACCACCTGGTGAACGTTGGGGAACCTGCGTCTGCGGTGGTAGAAGTCCTGACCTCTGAGGGGGCCACAGGATCTTGAGGGGAAGCAGGAGATGCTAAGCAGTCCTCCGGCTCAGACTGAGGGCAGCAGAGAAGAGACTCTGAGTGTGCCCCACACCCCAGGAGTCCTCACCTCCTGCTACCTGTCTCCTTCTGGAGGTGGCCCAGTCTTTTGATGGGTTCTGGGATAGAAATCAGGACACTTGACTCCCCCCTTCCTTAACATTCTGCCTCTGGCAAATCATGGCTCCTCTCCGGGCCTTTCCTCAGCTATATAAAAAGGAGTTTTGTTTTTTTCTTTTCTTTTTTTTTTTTTTTTAAGATTTAAAAAGAGATTTGAGAGAGAGAGAAAGCGCAAGCAGACAGAGAGAGAGAGAGAAGCAGGCTTCCCACTGAGCAGGGAGCCCGACCCTGGGCTCGATCCCAGGACCCTGAGATTATGACCTGAGCGGAAGGCAGATGCTTAACTGGCTGAGCCACCCAGGCATCCCAGGAGTTTGGTTCTTGATGCTGATCAAACCTCAGAATCACTGGGGAGGTGAAGCAAACCGTAACAACAGGTACCTGGGTGGGCCCTACTTCCTGAGATTCTGATTCAATCGGCCTGGGGCAGACCCAGATAGCAGTTTTATCTTTAACTCCTGCAGGGACGCTAATGCTGAGCCAAGGTTGAAAACTTGGGCTCTATCTTGTCCCGTGCTGGGTCTCATAGCCATTTGTAGCTAGACCCAGGGCAGTGGAGGGAATGGTCCGACCCACCTGCTGTAGTGCTCTGGATGAATTCATGAATGAAATGAGCCACAAAACTGCATATAAAAAGATTTCGTAGGGTTTCTTTTTTCTTGTTGGTGTTTTTTATTTTACCACCCTCATGCCCTCAGGAGATTTTGAAGAAACAAGCTGGATGCCCTCTGGCTTGTTTTCTTGCAGCATAAGGATTGCTAAGGCATCCCAAAGCACCTCCTTCCAACAGGTGCGGGGGCTCCTTGCCCTGATGTCCTGCATGTTCCGCAGTCCGGTGGTTTCCTGCCATTTACCAGCAGTGGTAACTAACTTGCCAGCAGTAACTTGGGCCTGGTACTGTAGCTCTTTGTGCCTCAGTTTCCTCATGCATACCGTTGATCACGGGCATGGTGGTGCCCACTTCACAGTACTGTTGGTGAAGGGAAAATGCGTGCATTCATGTAACAATGACACATGGGTTCTCAGAAATGTTATCTATTATTATTATTTCTAGAGAAGCGCGGTGGGTGTGGCAAGCAGGAAGCAAGAACTGACCAACTGCTTGGCCACTGCACTGGTGTTATTGGTGTTTCTGGGAGGATGTTAAAGTTGCTCTTTATATATGAAAATTGTATCATTTGGGAGGATTGGAAATGCCATTGACAAAACAGTTCAGTACCTACCGTGGATATTGGAGAGCTGCCGGCGCTTCCAAAAATCAGACAATTTAGCACAATGTAAGCCTATCAAAGAATTCTTTCTCGCACTGTGTTTTCAACTCGCCCCCACTTCTGCATCTGCAGACGGTTCAACATTTCCGAAACCTGCAAACGGGCCGATTCGGCGGCCCAGGGCGCCCCCTTGTGGCACGCTGGGGGGACGGCTCCCCCGACGGGGCGCGGCGCTTTCCCCGCTGGAAGTCACAACCCGCCCCCCCGCGAAGGGACAGCGGAGCACATTGACTCGGTGGCGCGGAGGCCGCTCCCGGGCAGGCGGAGAGAGCTGCCGAGGCTTCTGTCTCCTGCGGCTCTGGGCAAGTGCCAGGCCGCTGGGTGCCCGCGCCCGTGGGGCGGCCGGCGGGGGCCTGAGGTTCCAGGGCGGCACCGCCACCTCCTGGCGCGTGCTAGTCCGTCCCGGGGATGCTGCGCGTCCTGCACCGTGGGACAGCCCTGCACGACAGTGAGTTGTCAGGCGTCGCCCATGACTCGCAAACGGGCCTCCAGGCACTGCTGTGTGAAATGCTGCAGTGAGCTCAGCCTGCCACTGTGACACAGGAGAACCCAAAGTTGTCCTTCTAGCTTGGACACTTTCAGTTTTCCAGGACCGCAACTTAGCATGACCTGCTGGCAAGACTGTGCTTTGCCTTCTTTGCAATTTTATCAGAGTTGTTCAGCATTTTGGAAAATATCCCTGCACGACCC